GATTTTTGGCTCGTGCGATGCACATGATTGAAGTAAAATTAAGGACAAAATACACTTTACCCCCGTGTCTATGCCTAACGTAACACTTACCCCTTGTACTATGAAAATACACTTACCCCCTTATTTTAATGGTCAAACTATTTGACTCTTAACGGTGTTAGTAGTAAAATAAATTTAATATATTTCTAACAATCCCTACTAAATGACACATTTTTTTTATTTAAAAAAAATATTACATGTACTATCAATAAATTAAATAAATATTTAAGATACTAATATTTTTAAATTTTGATTAAATAAGAAAAATATTATTACTTTTTAATAATTCATAAGAAATGACATATTATTTTTATTAAAAAAAATATCTTTTTATTGTGGATAAATATATTAAATAAATATTTAACATGTATAAATTTTTAAATATAGGATTAAAATATTTACTCATTAAATATTTATATTAAAAATTGTAATTCTACAGTATTATTTTTTAACGATATATGCTAATGATTTATTTTATTTATTTGTAACATCAAAATTCACTTAAGCCTTTTACATTTTAGGATTCACTATACGGAATTGAATGTTACAAATAAATATTAAAAATTCAATGTACACAATGTTTAATGAGTTAAATAATTTAATCCAGAATATAAAAAATTAAACTTGCTACTTGGTTGTATAAAATAATATATGAAAAATTATATTATCTAAATATTAATTTGCAATATAAATATTTAACAAGTAAATTATATTTAATTCGAAATTTAAAAAAGAATTGCTACCTTAAATATTTATTTAATATATTCATAGTACATGTAATATTTTTTTAAATAAAGAAAATGTGTCATTTAATAAGGATTATTAAAAATATATTAAATTTATTTTACTTCTAACACCGTTAAGAGTCAAATATGTTGACCGTTAAAATAAGGGGGTAATTGTATTTTTCATAGTACGAGGGGGTAAGTGTTACATGAGAAATAGTACAAGAGGGTAAAGTGTATTTACAAAGTAAAGTTCAATTTAAACGACAAAATTGAAGTTTCAATTCATTTTGATATTTTGCTATATATATATTGATGATAATCCCCCATCCATAAACTCTTTTTGCCATATTTATTTATATTTTTGATGTAATATGGTTGTATAGTTATCTTATCTCAGTTAATGTTGAAGTTTGACAAATCTTCTTCTTTATCACCCATAACAGGCCTCAGTAAAGTTACTGTAAATGAAAATTATAACTATCAAATGAGCGTGAAAAATTTCCTACAGCTTAGCAGTAGCAACCTTACTTTTATTAATAAGATACGTGAATTTGGGGTCGAAAAATCTGGATACTTAGTGGATATATTAACCCGGATTATATTGAATGAGATTAAATAATAAAAATAAATAATCAAATAAATAAATCAATATAGCTATCAAATGAGCGGGAAAAGTTTTATAGGGTTTAACAGGAGCAATATTACTTTTATTAATAAGATAGCCATGCAAATCAGGAAGTTCTAGTTAACAAAAAAAAAAAAACATAAAAAATATTTATTTTGGGTTATTTTTGTATACCTCTAAGAAACAATTCGGGAGCAATGTCTCCAAATCCCGTCGCTTTTAGCCCACCTTCATCTATAATTCTGGTTTCGCTACTGACTACTATGATTCGAGCTCCACTAGAAAGATATAATCAATCCTAGTCAAGGGGACGTACTATAAATCAATCTCCATTTTGTTAATAAGATAGAAATAAATCGAGTAATTTCTCATTTAATAATATCCATTTATTTTAAAACAGGGTGTCTTTTCAGCCCTAACTAACTACAGTAGAACCTCGATAAATTAATAATCACACTTAAATAATACATTTTTCCGGTCCCAACATGATAAATTGATAATTCGCTAAATTTATAAGATAATACACATTCGGAAATTTTAAGAAGCCCCATATAATATATAAATTAATAATGCATAAAAATAATTCTTAAATTACATGGTGAAATACATATTTTATAGATCCATGAAGGTTCAATAAAATATATTTTAATTGTCGCTTCTTTCTTGATGAAGAACACATTACCATCAATCTCATCCCTCACGTTTCTTAACATGGTTAAAACTTTTGGTATAGTTTTCTCATAACTCAACAGGGAAATTGTTCAATACCATTGTTGCTTTAAGAGCTTCTGTTCGTGATACTGACTCTATAGTGCATCGAACTAATGGTATAACAAACAATATACACGTAAAAAATTTAAAAAAAAATGTATTTATTGAAAATAATAATAAAAATAATTTCATAAATTAATAAGTATTAATTAATGTATAAATTAATAAGTATTAATTAATGTATAAATTAATAATTATTAATTTATCGATAAATTAATACTTCGCTAAATTAATGAAATTTTGATTGTCCTAACTATATTAATTTATAGAGGTTTAACTATATAAAACAAAGTTTGAGTGAGTTGTAAAAGAACCATGAATTATTTCGAACTGTTAAACAACTACTCGTATAATTAATATTAGCCAAAACCGTCCGCAAGGGATGTCCTAGCGGTTGGAGCAAGTGAGCATGTATCAATTGACCCAGGTTCGAATCCCCTTGCCAACGGTTGCTAGGTCGAGCTTATCAGACATGGTTTGCCTAGTGTGGTTTACATCTCTCGTATGATTTGCAAACTATTATACGAGAGTGTAGGTTTACCTAATGCACTTATATGGTTGGCTGCGGATTCTTTTATTACAAAAAAAAAAATAAAAAATATTAGCCTAAACCTTTCTATGCGATAAGAGTACTTTGCCTATAGGGGTTTGCAAGCTATTATACGAGAGTGTAGGTTTACCTAATGCACCTATATGGTTGGCTGCGGGTTCCTTCAATACCAAAAAAAAAAAAAAAATATAGCCAAAACTTTTCTATGCGATAAGAGTACTTTACCTAAAGGGGTCATTAGCAATAACTCCATCCTATAGATAAAAAATAGTGATATGTCCATACTATAATTCTTTCTTTGTGATAAACCCCTAGAATATTTATTCCCAATATTGCCTTTGCAGCAATTATCACGCTTCGTAACACCCAATCATAATTTTTGAAATTCCTAATAGTATGGGCATCTAAATTCCTATTAATTAGCATTAATATATGCTTATGTCACACCGAGCACCACCCATCATGACCAAGTCATATGATAAGGAGATTGAGGAAGTGCTCGGCCGACAACTGAAGCGACGTAGGTGTTTTCCACCGAGTATTCAATATCTCATCAAATGGAAGGGACTACCCGAGTCCGATGCAACATGGGAGACTGAGGAAGACTTGTGGCAATTTCATGATCGTCTTCACTTGTTCGAGGCAACGAGGACGTCGCCGGATTAGGCGGGGGAGGATGTCACGGCCTACCAGTTTTGGCCCAATCCTTTGCTAGTTTCCCTTGGGTTGGGAGGTTAAAAGTCCAAAACTTAGCCCAAATAGAGTAGGCCCAAGTTGGCCCAAGTGTATATAGAGATTGGTAGAGATTCTTGGAGGATTTTAGAAAACTTTCTAGAACCCTCCCTTTGTAGATATTTTGTAGGAATTCTTTGGAGTGTTCTAGTGAACCACTCATAGCCAACAGATTAATAGATCTCCACCGTCCATTAAGGAGGTGACCTAGTATAAATAGGAGTATGGACTTCATTTGTAATCATCCAAGAAATCCAAAATATTCAACCAATACAAGTACTTTCTAACAAGCTCTCTTATCTTTTTAAGTTCTTTGTTCGTTTTCCATCACTTAGCATTCGCAACACTTTTGGGGAGGCTCACTTAGCTATTCCGAGGGACGAAAATGAGCTAAGACCGCACATTTCGTTGTTAAGGAAACAAGTCAGTGACAGACGGCAACTTGGGCTGTTAGAGTAGGTGACCAACAAGCCAACATGTGGCTGTGGTCTTTCGTATTTATTATTGTAATAAACGAACCTTTATTCGTATTAATGATAAAACACCTTGTCATTCTATATCTTTGTCCCTTTGTCACAAGCATAGATATAGTCCTTACAGTTATTACAAGTACTAGTAATTGATCGTTAGGATCGTGAGATATTTACTTAAGTATTATAACTGTTAAACGTGTTCCTAGTCGAAGGGTTACGCCACTAATGAGGATATCGGCCTTTCCCATGAAGACTAGCACTTAGTGTATGTGTACTGCATCTCATCAGTATACCACTAGGCCAAAATGCAAGACTGGCGACGTTTTTTTTAGCGACGGTTTTATGTTCGTAGCATGTTTGCGACGTTTATGAGTTAAAATCGTCGCTTTTTGTGGAAAACCCCGGTTTTGTTAAAAACACTAGCGACGATTTGGATAATCGTCTCTAGGTAGCGACGCAACATATGAAAACGTCGCACGTATTAAAAAAAATTTTGCGACGAAATAGGACTTTCGTCGCACGATTTACATATTTTGCAATTTTATATTTGAAAACTCGCGACGAAACAGTATAATACGTCGCCATAGTTCTTTTAAAAAAAGAAAAATAATATACGTTGCGACGGTTATGTTGAAACGTCGCTAGTAATGCCCAATTATTTAATAATAATTAATATATGGCGACGGAATTTGAAAAAACGTCGCCATGATTTTATTAAAAAAATATATATATATCTTTGTTTGCGACGGATCGGGGAAACCGTCGCAATAGATATTTTCAATTTTGTTTTTCCCTGAATTTGGTGGCGACGTAAACCTGTATACGTCGCTAGGGTTCCTTTTAAAAAAATATTATCGTGCGACTTTAATTTAGAAACGTCGCAAATTTTAGATTAATTATTCTGCACAGACCCTAATTCGTTCACTTTGCTGTCTCTCTCTTCTCTCTCTCTCTCCTTCTTCGATCAGCCCACCGCCGCCTGCTGTCCGCCGCCCGCTGCCCGTCGTCCGCTGCCCGCCGTTCCCCGTCAGCCCACCGGCGTTAGCCCTCCTCCGTGAACCCTAATCGTCGCCGATCCCGTAAGCCCTCCGCCGCAGAAGTCTCTCGCCAGCCCTTGCCGCCGTCGCCGTCGCCGTCAGCCCTCTCCGTCGCCGCCAGACCTCTGCCGCCAGCCGTCCTCCGTCCGCCCTCTTCCGTCCAGAATTATATTGGCAATTTTGTTTGCTGCTAAGTTTATATTGAAGGTTTTTTTTTTCTTTTTTTTTTTTTTGTCAAAATATATCCTTAATTACCTCAAAGCTAAGTGTGCTTCCTCAGTTGATAAATATATTCGTAAACGACATTAGAAAAATCCGTTATTTTTAAGGTTTCGGATTGAGTATTACTTTCTTCTTCCTCCGAACCCTGATTCCCCTCTTTTGTTCTTCAGGAATAGCGAGTTTGATTCCATTTTCTAATTTGCAGGTGCCTACACTTACGTTTCTGAGCTATGGAAGAAGAAGCAATCCGATGTGATGCGGTTTTTGCTTAGGGTTCGCTGTTGGGAGTACCGTCAGCTTCCCGCTGTTGTACGTGTCACCCACCCCACTCGCCCCGACAAGGCCCGCCGCCTCGGCTACAAGGCCAAGCAGGTACGCAAATCCTTTTTTTTACCCTTCGCATGATCTTAAATCTATGATGAACCGTTTGTTTAGTCCCTTGAAGAAATGCGTATGTGTTTGTTTATGATCTGGTATATCCGTTGTCTCCAATTTTGGGGTTTGAGAAAGCGGCTTCATTTTTGTTTTTTGTCAATCAACTGTTGTTAGATTGGTGATTGTTAATTTCAAGAGTTAATGTTATCTCTTATACTAAACTATGTCGAAACCTTAAAAATAACTGATTTTTCTAAATGTCGTTTAAGAATTTGAAATGAGTTCCGTCGTGGGACGAACAAGATATATACTGTTTGCTAATCCTTAATTATCGAATGTTATATTCCATAACATTCGATAATTCAAGAAAAAATTAAACTACTGACTTTCGAACGATTATTGAAACTCATTGTTAACAGTACGAAATAAACTTAAACTCGTATTTGTGTTCTGGAAATGCTTATATACTTGGCTCAAACTCGTATTTGTGTTCGATTAGAAGAAAATGTTAAACTGTAAAAATAAAAATAATCGACAACAGCTCTGATTTGTGCTATAGTTTGTGTCCGATTTAGTTAAAGTATGATAGGCTTACGAAATTCAAATTAAATTTAAACACAACTTTAAAAATTGAAAGCTTTCCCGTTGAAAATTAAAAATTGATGTCAATTAAATATTGAAAGCTTTCCCGTTGAAAATTGAAAATTGATGTCAATTAAAAATTGAAAAGCTTTCTCGTTGCGACTACTACCTTAATTTAGTTTTAGTTTATGAATGTAACTTTGACTTGATAGAATAATTGTGATTTTAATAATTGTGACCCTTCCCAATTTCTAGGTATAATTGTTGCCCACACTTGCAGATTAATTTTGCTAATCTTGTGTTATATATGTTCTTGCAGTATATTCTTGATGTTTTATATTGGGTTTAAGTTTTTGTACTCGGACGTATTTCTTTAAGGGTTGCGATTAATTTTTGTGCGAAATTACATGGAAAACAGGGGAATTGATAAATGTATTTTTCTCATTAAGTGGTCTTGGTAAAAAAAAGACCACTTCTTATGGCCTCCCGTCGCCGCTGGGCCCCTTCTTTCTTTCCATTTGTCTCCAGGAATTTTGATGCACATGGGCAGAGGTTACCCTTCAAAGGGTATTGTTAGTCAAGAAAAAAATAGTGGGGGAGAAACTCCCATGGAAGAGAAGAAGAACCAGAGCTTCATTTCAATCAATTTCTAGTTTGGGTAAGTTTCAAAAGTTCAATTGAGTCATTAAGTTTCAATTAAGTTAAATTGAGTCCTTACAACAATTGCAGGAAAACCGAGAAACAATGCAAGAACAAAATAAAGTTAAAGATGAAAAAGTTGATCGATTAGAAGAGCAATTGCAAGAAAGCCGAGGTATTTTGAACACCTTGCTCGAGCGTTTTAATAGTGGAGTATGAACACGAGATGAAATTAGTGTGCCTCTTCAACTAATACATTTATGGTTTCAAGTTTTTATGTAATTTTTGAATTGAAGTTTGTGATGTAATTTGATATTTAGTTGGTAATCGTGGTTTTTAATAATTTTGAGTAAATATGGTTTTGGGTTTTTTTTTTTTTTTTTTTTTTTTTTAACAACTGATTTTATTTTGTAATAGAAAATAATTAAAATAAATAAACTAATTAAAAAAAAAACGTTTGCGACGAAAAAAAAATCGTCACAAACAAAAATGAGTACTTGAGACGAAATATAATTCCGTTAACGTCGCCAAATTAATTAAAGTCGGGCGACGAAAAAACTATTTAGTCGCCAAAAGATTCAGTGAACTTGCGACGAAATATGAAATTTCGTAGCAACAAGTTGCGACGAATATGCATTATCCGTCGCGAAAAATAAATAAATATTTTTTTTCAGAAAATACGGTTTTAGCGACGAAGTGTTTTTTTCGTCGCCAAACTTGGCGACGCAATTGTATTTTCGTCGCTGACTTTGCGACGGGGCATTTGGCGTCGATTTTGGACTGATTTGGCGACGAAAATAAAACGTCGCTAACCGTGATAAAACGTCGCTAGGAGATAAAATTCGTCGCGAATTTTCGTCGCCAGTCTTGCGTTTTGGCCTAGTGTACGGTATTGTGATATCGGCATGCATAAGTGGGTGCTCGTAAGTTGACGAGTTCACTGAACTCCCTCACCCTAGAAATCTCTAAGTGGTTCCCAATAATCGAGTAGAGAATTCTATGGTATAGTTGTACACCATTAGTCCTTATGACCTAGACATCACCGTGACTTCACTAGAGGACCAGCTGTATCGTGACCTGTCCCTGAGTTCCACCGAGGACCATCCCAAGGGCCAGTGTTCGTGCAGTCCGAAATCTAGTGGGAGGTCTGTGCATTGTAGTCGGGGATTCGATCGCTAGAATAGTCTTGGATGTCCTGTGTGTTCTGAAAGTTTGTAATCATTCTAAGTCTCTGGCCAGAGCTGACTAAGTGATGATTAGAGAATTCGATTCTCTAAGTCATGCACGTAAGGATTACAACACTTAGAACGATCGCACCGTCATCGAACATATAAAGAGGTCTCGATGAACCAATGCCTCTAGTTCGATCGGGACATATGTATCGAAGGGACCGTACTGTACGATTAACTATATCTGAAGGTTCTTGCAGGCACTTCATTTGTATCTAGGGAATCATGACGCGTAGTTGCTAGACGCCTATCTTGATTCGTTGGGTGATTAAGGTGAAACGAGCTTCATCTTAATCGTAACTCTAAGGGATGAGTTTTGACCACAAAGAGTTGTGGGCCCACGGCTAGCTTACACGTGAACCATCGAGGGTCACACTGCTCGTGCACATGAGATCTTTGAATAAACGGTCAGAGATAAAATAGTTTATCTTTGCATGATTGGAAGTCAATATGATTGAGTCCAACATTCGTAATTTGGAATTATGAATGAGAATAAGAAAAGGAAAAGAATAGGCGAACGTATTAGTGAACTTTCTAAATCGGGAAGTTTCCAAATTTAGAAAGTGCACTGAACTAGGGTTTCCACTTTTGGAAAGTTGGAAAATGAGAGATGGCACTCGTAATGACGAGGAAGTTATAATGAATCCGAAAATGTAATCGTTGCAATTTTTCGGTCATTGAATTAAGAGAGACGAACAAGTAAAGATACTAACGGACTTAAGCTGTTGGGCCCGGTCCAACTTAAGCCCGCTAGGGTTTTATGCAAGACATATAAATACTTGATTTATAGGCAAAAATACAACACAACCCTAAGCCTAGCAGCCGTCCACCTCTCTCTCGGCCTCTCTCTCCCACGGCCAACACCGCCGCCCACTCCGCCGTTTCGCCGGAATCGGCCGTTGATCGGCCGATTGGTTTGGTAGTCTTTTTCCTTCTCTTTTTCTTCCGGTTTTCTAACTATTACGTGTATAGTGCCACGTGTTTAGTAGATCGAAGTATACGAGGTGAAATCCGAGAGGAGGAAGATCAAAGATCGAAGAATCGAAGAGCAGCGCACGAGCCGAAGCCGCACGCTGCCCCACGCGCCGCCCCGGAAGTCCGCGCGTGTACCTCACGCGCCGCCGTGGGCGATTTGCTGCTGCTGCCGCTGCACCGCTGCTGCCCCGATTGTACGGATTGGTTTCCGTAGCAATCTCGACTTGCTAATCGCTCCTACCTCACGCTTCAAGAGGTAAATATACGAAACCCTAGTTTCGATTCGATTATGTTTAAACTATGAATTCATGTTTGCTATCGTATGATTTTATGTGATTATGTGTAATCGTTTTAATCTTTGCAAGCATGTTAATTGGTTTAAACGCGAGCATGTTAATTGATTTAAATTCGGTTAAATTATTTAGCATGTATGTTGTTTTTAATTTCGCTGGAAGCGCAAAGGTACGCAATTAATTGATTTAATTTGTCGGGCATGTACTATGTGTGTTTTAAAGTCGTTTAAATCACATAAATTTTTGTTTTCCGCTGCGTATGCGTGCCCGAAACCCAACAGTGGTATCAGAGCTCGTTGCGTAATTAATTGCGTTGTATAATATGCTATGATTTTATGCATGTTCGATTTATTGAAGTAGTGATTGTCGTATTATGTAATTGGGAGTTTTCGTAAGTTTAAAATATTTTTGAAATATTGTTTAGAACTTTTCCAGCTTTAAAATTGTTTAAAATTGGAAAATCGGATCTGAAAATGTTTTTAAAACATCGGTTTTTGTTTAATCGGATCGAACCGGTCGAACCGACCGGTTCGATGGTTGTGTACGATTTAGTTGACCGAATCCGCGTGGATTCGGGTCGGTCAGACCGGTTCCCGGTCCGACTGACCCGGCCCACTGATTTGGGTCAGCTGGACCGGACAGAACCGGACCGCTTCGGTCCGAACCGGTCAGACCGGTTGGGCCGAACCGGTTCACTGAAAATAAAAAATAATTTTTTTTTTTTTTTTTTTATTTCAGATTTCTAAAATTAAACTTAAAACAAATTGATTTTAATTTTTGGAAAATTATTTTCAATTAATCCCAATTAGATAATTGGATCGCCAATCATCTATTTTAGTAAATAGGTGTTAGATTAATTAATTAATTTAAATTGTTAAATTGATTTCAATTAATAGAACACATTCATAATTTTGATTATGGTTCAACTTAATTAGTAGTACCTCAACATTATTTGAATGATTTATGCTAGTTGAGGTTCTATAATTATTTTGAAAAACTCGATAATTAATTAATGTAATTAATTATATAGTTAGGTCGTATGTTCCTCTTAGGACAACTAGTAATTGTACCCGTGCGATGCACGGGACAACAAATTACATTGTTTTGATGTTGTAAGAATATAAACAAACGTTTGATGTATCGTATGATTAAAATTCTATTATACTGGAACATTATTAAGTATACTACACACAAAAAAAAGGACATAACTTTACTGTTGAATAAGTATCGTATGAATTGAATCAGCTAATACCAGTAGATTGAAAATTTGAACCAGGAAAAAAAATCATCAATTATGTCTTTCATGTTGAGCTTAAAAGTAATTAGATTTAATAACTAAGTTAACATAATCAAAACTAAACTATCGACAACATACCATCGTAAAAAGCCATCTATACATCTTGCATCGGAACTAAGCCCTTCTCCACTGCCTCATTTTAATGTTGTTTTGCCACTGGAATTAACAATTGGAAAATTAAGAAACATTAAATTAAATATCGCATACAAACAATAAGTCTTGAAGGTCGACTTCCAATAGCTTGTGGCTCCGCCCATTTTCGGTTAATTTTCTCAAATCATCCATTTCAATAACATGTCCAATAACATATAAAATTAAATAATTTTTATACATAAAATTTGAAAACTTTGGTATAAATTAATGAAACACATAATTTAACAAAATGAAATTACCTATAAGCCATGATGGAAAAAAATGTAAACTAATTGCCACAGAGTCAATAGGATGAAGAAGAATATAAGAAACAAAATCTAAAGTCGGCTTACCAAAAGAAGAAGCCTTAGGTAGGGAAGACATAAAATTCAAATGTTGCGGACATTCTGTAAAACGATGTTACAAAATCCGCTAGGGATGAAAATCAGATTTATTTACCCTTTTCTGTAAAAATTGAAAATCAGATTATATATCTAGGAGAATTTGATGAAAATCGATAATAATATTTAAAATAATATTTAGGAGATAAAAATTTGATAAAAAAAACAAAAACTAATATTTAGGAGATAAAAGTTGATAAAAATTGAAAATAAAATTTAAAATAATAGTAAGGAGATAAAAATTTGATAAAAAATCGAAAATAATATTTCAAATAATGTTAATGAGATAAAAGTTGATAAAATATAAAAATTATTATTTAAAATAATATTTAGGAGATAAAAATTTGATAAAAATCGAAAATAATGTTTAGGACACAATAATCTGATAAAAAACGAAAATAATATTTAGGAGATAAAAAAATAATAAAAACATGATAAAACTCGAAAAAAATATTTAAAATATTATTTAGGAGATATAAATATGATAAAATTCGAAAATAATATTTAGGAGATAAAAATCTGCTTAAAGTTGAAAATTATATTTAAAATTATAGTTAGGAGATATAAATTTGATAAAATCAAAAAATATTATTTATAATAATATTTAGGAGATAAAAATTTGATAAAAATAAAAAATAATATTTAGTAGACAAAAATCTGATAAAAAATAAAAAATAATATTTAGGGGATACATATATGATAAAATTCGAAAATAATATTTAGGAGATAAAAATCTGCTTAAAGTTGAAAATTATATTTAAAATTATAGTTAGGAGATATAAATTTGATAAAATCAAAAAATATTATTTATAATAATATTTAGGAGATAAAAATTTGATAAAAATAAAAAATAATATTTAGTAGACAAAAATCTGATAAAAAATAAAAAATA